GCTACGTATTTTGTTACGTGAATTGTTCATGCATTGCTACATATTTTGTCACGTGAATTGTTCATGCATTGCTACGTATTTTGTCACGTGAATTGTTCATGCATTGCTACGTATTTTGTTACGTGAATTGTTACATAAAATGTGACAGTTGACTGGAGCATTTCTCTCTTTCTAGCCGTAGCATCAACAAACCTAGGCCGCCTATTGCGTTTCATAGAGAAACTAACTCTACCTTAAATTGTCCCCCTTAAAAGTCTACTACCTCCGCTGTAAATGTGTAAGCTTGTTTCTTAGTGAACTCTTTTCATGTTTTCTTACAATTATTCTCTCAACTCATTCTGAACAGCAGACGATATAATTAACTACACACATACTATTGATAGTTGATTTGACTATTTCCCAAAGCGTTACTCTCAGAAAACATCATCTGCATGCATGACACCAGTCGGATAATGTAATGTAACACCAATGAGTGATTTCATGGAAAACTTAAATTGTACGTGACGTCACGTTTTCTTCTACAATCCCGATAGTTTGTTTACAATCAGCCAGCTTTAAAACTTTAAAAGATAAGGACTAACTTTGTGTCGTAGATCTTACCTTTTGAACCTCCTGTTACCAAACAATGTGCCATTCAGTGCTCGTTACACTAACAGAATAGGGGGGGAAACACACACAGATTTTGCCACTAGCTACACATACACATACTGTCATCCAACATACGTACACAATACTCAAGCTGTGTCACGGAACTAATGCTGTGAATAACGGCCACTAGCCCCGCTGTGCGCAGTTGGGGGGGGGGGGGGACGGACACAGCGCGGCTGAGATATTTTTAGATAAGTAATGAAACATTTGTTTAAAACCCCCAAGTGTCATTTTCATGGGACTCAACCTGTCGCAAATGATAATACTAACCCGAGATCTGCCAAAAGGAAGATCGAATTGTCTATAAGTTACCGAAATAATATTTAATTATTGAAAATGTACTTTTCTTCTCAAAAGCACGTTTTTACAATTTGACAGATATGATGTAACCGTGGATGAAGGAAATTGTGGACCCAACTCACGGTAATCTCACCTTGGGTGTTTACTTCGCAGTGGGTAGTCATGGTGGGTAAGAGTTAGCAAAGAGGGGGGGGGGG